TTTCCCCATTGCTTGTTTTCGTCAGGTTTATCAAAGATTGTATGGTTGTAGATATGTTGAGTTGCCTCCGAGGCCTCTGTTTTGTTGCATTGGTCTATATCTCTGTTTTGGTACCAGTACCATGCTGTTTTGATTACTGTAGCCTTGTAGTATAGTTTGAAATCCGGTAGTGTGATGCCCCCCGCTGTGTTCTTTTTGCTTAGAATTGACTTGGCTATGCGGGCTCTCTTTCGGTTCCATATGAAGTTCATGGTGGTTTTTTCCAGTTCTGTGAAGAAAGTCAATGGTAGCTTGATGGGGATAGCGTTGATTCTGTAAATTACTTTGGGCAATATAGCCATTTTCACGATATTGATTCTTCCTAACCATGAACATGGAATGTTTCTCCATCTGTTTGTGTCCTCTCTGATTTCGTTGAGCAGTGGCTTGTAGTTCTCCTTGAAGAGGTCCCTTACGTTCCTTGTGAGTTGTATTCCAAGGTATTTTATTCTTTTTGTAGCAATTGTGAATGGCAGTTCATTCTTGATTTGGCTTTCTTTAAGTCTGTTATTGGTGTAGAGGAATGCTTGTGATTTTTGCACATTGATTTTATATCCTGAGACTTTGCTGAAGTTGCTTATCAGTTTCAGGAGTTTTTGGGCTGAGGCAATGGGGTCTTCTAGGTATACTATCATGTTGTCTGCAAATAGAGACAATTTGGCTTCCACCTTTCCTATTTGAATACCCTTTATTTCTTTTTCTTGCCTGATTGCTCTGGCTAGAACTTCCAGTACTATACTGAATAGGAGTGGTGAAAGAGGGCATCCTTGTCTAGTGCCAGATTTCAAAGGGAATGCTTCCAGTTTTTGCCCATTCTGTATGATATTGGCTGTTGGTTTGTCGTAAATAGCTTTTATTACTTTGAGATACGTTCCATCGATACCGAGTTTATTGAGGGTTTTTAGCATAAAGGGCTGTTGAATTTTGTTGAATGCCTTCTCTGCATCAATTGAGATAATCATGTGGTTTTTTTTTTTGGTTCTGTTTATGTGGTGAGTTACGTTTATAGACTTGCGTATGTTGAACCAGCCTTGCATCCCTGGGATAAATCCTACTTGATCATGATGGATAAGTTTTTTGATTTGCTGTTGCAATCGGCTTGCCAATATTTTATTGAAGATTTTTGCATCTATGTTCATCATGGATATTGGCCTGAAGCTTTTTTTTCTTGTTGGGTCGCCACTGGGTTTTGGTATCAGGATGATATTGGTCTCATAAAATGATTTAGGAAAAATTCCCTCTTTTTGGATTATTTGGAATAGTTTCAGAAGGAATGGTACCAGCTTCTCTTTTTGTGTCTGGTAGAATTAGGCTGTGAACCCATCTGGACCTGGGCTTTTTTTGTGTGGTAGGCTCTTAATTGCTGCCTCGACTTCTGCCTTTGTTATTGGTCTAATCATAGTTTCAGCTTCCTCCTGGTTTAGGCTTGGGAAAACACAGAAGTCCAGGAATTTATCCATTTCTTCCAGGTTTACTAGTTTATGTGCATAGAGTTGTTTGTAATATTCTCTGATGATGGTTTGAATTTCTGTGGAATCTGTGGTGATTTCCCCTTTATCATTTTCTATTGCATCTATTTGGTTGTTCTCTCTTTTCTTTTTAATCAATCTGGCTAGTGGTCTGTCTATTTTGTTGATCTTTTAAAAAAACCAGCTCTTGGATTTATTGATTTTTTGAAGGGTTTTTCGTGTCTCAATCTCCTTCAGTGCAGCTCTGATCTTAGTTATTTCTTGTCTTCTGCTGGGTTTTGAGTTTTGTTGATCTTGCTCCTCTAGCTCTTTCAATTTTGACAATAGGGTGTCAATTTTGGATCTCTCCATTCTCCTCATATGGGCACTTATTGCTATATATTTTCCTCTAGAGACTGCTTTAAATGTGTCCCAGAGATTCTGGCATGTTGTGTCTTCGTTCTCATTGGTTTCGAAGAACTTCTTTATTTCTGCCTTCATTTCATGGTTCATCCAGTCAACATTCAAGAGCCAGTTGTTCAGTTTCCATAAAGCTATGCGGTTCTGGGTTGGTTTCTGAATTCTGAGTTCTAACTTGATTGCACTACGGTCTGAGAGACTGTTTGTTATGATTTCAGTTGTTTTGCATTTGCTGAGGAGTGCTTTACTTCCAATTATGTGGTCAATTTTAGAGTAGGTGTGATGTGGTGCTGTGAAGAATGTATATTCTGTGGATTTGGGGTGGAGAGTTCTGTAAATGTCTATCAGGTTTGCTTGTTTCAGGTCTAAGTTCAAACCCTGGATATCCTTGTTAATTTTCTGTCTGGTTGATCTGTCTAATATTGACAGTGGAGTGTTAAAGTCTCCCACTATTATTGTGTGGGAGTCTAAGTCTCTTTGTAAGTCATTAAGAACTTGCCTTATAAATCTGGGTTCTCCTGTATTGGGTCTATATATGTTTAGGATCATCAGCTCTTCTTGTTGTATCGATCCTTTTACCATTATGTAATGGCCTTCTTTGTCTCTTTTGATCTTTGTTGCTTTAAGTCTATTTTATCAGAGATGAGAATTGCAACTCCTGCTTTTTTTTGCTCTTTATTTGCTTGGTAAATCTTCCTCCATCCCTTTATTTTGAGCCTTTGTGTATCCTTGCATGTGAGATGGGTTTCCTGGATACAGCACACTGATGGGTTTTGGATTTTTATCCAATTTGCCAGTCTGTGTCCTTTGATTGGTGCATTTAGTCCATTTACATTTACGGTTAATATTGTTATGTGTGAATTTGATACTGCCATTTTGATGCTAGCTGGCTGTTTTGCCCATTAGTTGTTGTAGATTCTTCATTATGTTGATGCTCTTTAGCATTTAGTGTGATTTTGGAATGGCTGGTACTGGTTGTTCCTTTCTATGTGTAGTGCCTCTTTCAGGAGCTCTTGTAAAGCAGGCCTGGTGGTGACAAAATCTCTGAGTACTTGCTTGTTCGCAAAGGATTTTATTTTTCCTTCATTTCTGAAGCTCAGTTTGGCTGGATATGAAATTCTGGGTTGAAAGTTCTTTTCTTTAAGGATGTTGAATATTGGCCCCCACTCTCTTCTGGCTTGGAGTGTTTCTGCCAAGAGATCTGCTGTGAGTCTGATGGGTTTCCCTTTGTGGGTGACCCGACCTTTCTCTCTGGCTGCCTTTAGTATTTTCTCCTTTATTTCAACCTTGTTGAATCTGACGATTATGTGCCTTGGGGTTGCTCTTCTTGCAGGATATCTTTGTGGTGTTCTCTGTATTTTCTGCATTTGAGTGTTGGCCTGTCTTGCTAGGTGGGGAAAATTTTCCTGGATAATGTCCTGAAGAGTATTTTTCAGCTTGAATTTATTCTCTTCATCACATTCTGGTATGCCTATCAAACGTAGGTTAGGTCTCTTCACATAGTCCCACATTTCTTGGAGACTTTGTTCATTCCTTTTTGCACTTTTTTCTCTGATATTGGTTTCTCTTTATATTTCATTGAGTTGATCTTAGACTTCTGATATTCTTTCTTCTGCTTGGTCAATTCGGCTGTTGAAACTTGTGCATGCTTTGCGAAGTTCTCGTATTGTGTTTTTCAGCTCCTTTAATTCATTCATATTCCTCTCTAAGTTATCCATTCTTGTTATCATTTCCTCGAATCTTTTTTCAAATCTTTTTTCAAGGTTCTTAGTTTCTTTGCATTGATTTAAAACATGTTCTTTTAGCTCACAAAAGTTTCTCATTATCCACCTTCTGAAGTCTAATTCCATCATTTCATCACAGTCATTCTCCATCCAACTTTGTTCCCTTGCTGGTGAGAAGTTTTGTTCCTTTGTAGGAGGTGAGGTGTTCTGGTTTCGGGTGTTTTCCTCCTTTTTGTGTTGGTTTCTTCTTATCTTTGTGGATTTATCCATCTGTCGTCTGAATAGTTGCTGACTTTTTGATTGGGTCTCTGAGTGGACTCCCAGATTGTTGATGATGAAGTATTTCTGTTACTTGGTTTTCCTTCTACCAGTCTAGCCCATCCACTGTATGACTGCTGAGGTCCACTCCAGGCCCTGCTTGTCTGGCATCCACCTATAGCAGCTGCGGAACAGTGAGGAATTCTACCAGTTTCTTTTTCTGCTATCTTTGTCCCAGAATGATGCCTGCCAAATGTCAGTCTTCTGGATATAGAGGGTCAGGGAGCTGCTTGAGGAGACAGTCTGTACTTTATAGGAGCTCAATTGCTGAGCTGTGAGCTCTGTTGTTCATTCAGGGCGGTTAGGCTGCTATGTTTAATTCTGCTGCAGCAGAGCTCATTAAAAAAAACCCTTTTTTTCCTCAGATGTTCTGTCTTGGGGGTGTTGGGGCTTTCTTTATGAGTGTCCATTGCGCTGTCCTGCCCAGCTAGGAGGCAGTCTAGTCACTATTTGCCTGCCGAGGCTCTGCCCTGCTGGTGTGAGGTCCACCCTGTTGCTGCAGGCTCTGCCCTGCTGCTGTGGTGTCTGCCCTGCTGCCACGGGCTATGCCCTGCGGCGGAGTCTCTCTGCCATGGTGGGTTGCCTCGGCAATGGCAGGCTGCATCAGCAATGGAAGTGTAACCTCAGTAGGGGCGGATTGCCTCAGTAATGGCAGACGCCCCTCCCCCACCGAGCTGCCTCGTCCTGGGTTCAGCTGTGCCTGCACTGAAACTCTCCACCCAGAGCATTTGGAATCGCCATTTTGTTTGTCCCACTGCTCTGGCCCAAACGCCGTTTCCCTGAAATCTCCTGGCCTGGCTCACTGTCCAAGTCCCGTTCAATCAGATGGATATGCCAATCTGCCCTCTCAAGTCTCAGATTGCTGGTTAAACAGGGCACCCGGACCAGTGCGCTTTGTGTGGAGTGCTGTGGAGCACCGCTGCGTTGTAGTGCCAGTGCTGGCTGCACCAGCCAAAACCACTGCGCTGGTGTTCCGCCTCTCTTTTATACCTGGGAGTTTCCCCGTTCTGTGGGCAACAGAGATCCGTCTGGAAATGCAGCGCTGACTTACCCTCTGCGCGTTCACCAAGAGCTTCAATCCTGGGTTGGTCTCACCGCGCCATCTTGAGTCGGTCGTCCGAATCATGGAATTTAACCTGAACAGAGCAGAATGCAAAGACACCTGGGCAGTGAATGAATGGTAGTAAGAAAGTCCACATTCCAGAGGGCTTTGGGTTTTTCAGGAACAAACTGGTAATAACTGAATCACATGATTGAATAGATACAAAGTGCAATGTCTACATTTGTGATTTATGAGGCTGATCAATTTTGGACTCTAGTGCTTCAAATATATGACTCTGGAATTAGGTAATTGTGCCTCAATAACAATAGAAATCCATGCATTGAGGAGCAAGTTTTGAGTAGATGAGTCATAAGCATGTTAAACTGCAGTTAATATCTAGACATGTGCCTTTAAATAATCAAGAGGAATTGAAAGAAAACTATGAAAAATAATAAAAAATTTGAAAAGTGGGCAAATGAATTGACTCTCACTAAGAAGTATTTCTGTATTTTAAATAAGAGAGTGCTAAGAAGAGATGTATACAAACATCATGACTTACACCTTCATTAAGAAGTGTCTCTTTTAACTGTACAAACTACCTTTTGTTCTGGTTAATGCTTTTTAAGTTAAATTTTACTTTCTCTGCTTTCCATTTTGGTAGACTTGGTTCCATCACATTTAAATGTCTTTGAGACACACTTGTCTATCCTTTGTATCCTTGTTTATTCACACTTGTTTATCTTTTCTGCATCATTTTGTTTTAGATCTTTCTCATGTGATATATAATTCAATTTTTTAAACTTTATTTATCTTTGTGCTTTTTGATAGAGGAATTCAAGCAATCTACATTTATAAGAATAAATGATGTATTTGGTTTTATGCTGTTCACTTGTTTTATACTTTAAGTTTTCTATGTTTTCTTTATATTGGTTAATTTTGTATCTTTTGCTAAGTAGATATTATACATGTTATTTGCCACACAGGCTCTGTAGGCAATTTTGGTTATATACAGAGGGTCTAAGAAGGCTTGCGGGTCTGATTCCCAGGGCTATATTTCCTCCTGTGTGGCTTTTGACAAATTACTTTTCTCTGCATCCTTAAAATGTGTATAATATTATTACCTGTCTCATGGAATTGTTAAGAAAATTACAAAAGCAGTCTCATGTAGCATATTAAAGGTTTTCAAAAACTATTAGCTTTTGTTATAAAATTTGCTTATTTTCTTTTAGTTTGACCTAGGATTTAGAATATAACAATTCTATTTTTCTTCCACTAGAGGTCTCCTCTGTATTTGTAAAATGCACACAAACCCATTTTCACTGATTTTTTTTTTTTTTTTCATTGATTCTTAAACAAGATTTCCTCACTAATTCCTAAGGGTGGACTGAGATGGAGCTTCATACCCTTTCTCATGTCATTCCATAGGGGAGGCATAAAACGTCACAATCTCAGAGAGCATTCTAGTCTACAAGCCTGTCTCTTTGTGTAGTGTCTGGGATATCAGAACAGTCATTGAAATTTGGGTTGGGTCAGTGTGTGGGACAAATTACAGTTCCAGCGATCATTTACATCCTTTGCTACACTTCCATCCCAAGATGAATTCTTGGCATCTCACGGTGACTTGAAGCAGTCACCTGGTTAACAGCAACATCAAAGAGTCGTGCGGCAGGGCGCAGTGGCTTGCTCCTGTAATCACAGCATTTTGGGAGGCCGAGGCGGGCGAATGACCTGAGGTCAGGAGTTTGAGACCAGCCTGGGCAACATGGTGAAACCCTGTCTGTACTAAAAATACAAAAATGGCCAGGCATGGTGGTGCACATCTGTAATCCCAGCTACCCCAGAGCCTGAGGCAGGAGAATCACTTGAACCCGAGAGGCAGAGCTTGCAGTGAGCAGAGATTGCGCCATTGCATTCCACCCTGGGCAACAAGAGCAAAACTCTGTCTCAAAAAAAAAAAAAAAAAAAAAGAGTAATGGTTGTGGAATCTAATGATCTTGGCTCTGCTGGTTACTAAGGTGAGATGTTAGGAGTAAAGACCAAGCAGATCCGGAATAGAATCCTTCTGCTCTTTCCCAAGGGGCCCCAATGATAGGTGCCTGAGCTCTTAGAGGTAGTGACAAGTTCCTAGTATATGTTAGGTAAAAGATTGAACCTGGATTCAGACGCCCAAGAGAAAGGACAGACTAAAGTTTATTAATGAGAACTCGACTTTTGCTTCCTTTGTGATTTGAGGAAGAAGTCTACTCAATCATTTCAGTTGTAGCAAAGTAAATTCTGAATCTAGGAAATAATAAATATTTTTTGACTTTAGAAATAAGAACTTTTGAAATTCCTTATGATTGCTTTAATGCGGTTATAAAACTTTTGATGAAGAAATATAATGATTGGCAAATCTCAATGGTTTTTCAGATGTATACATCGTAGCAGTTTACTTCTACATCATAGTAAGATAGGAAGCTACCTCTTTGATGACTCTGTGAGGTTCTGGGTTTTTACTTTGTTCACTATTGTTCATTTCTAGACAATATCAAGTATAATACCTAGAATACACTAGGAACATAGGCAAGGTTTATCAAATTAATAAACAACAAATAATCATAAAAATTATTAAGAGTGCAGGTGTTCATATTAAGCCAAGGAATAAGGCAATGATAAAACTGAATGTTTCACTCAGCCTTAAGGAAGCCAAATGAGATGTGGTTGGGTGGAGTTTTCCAAAAGGAATAAAAAGAGGAAGATGAATTTCTATGGCTAGTAAAAGGGAAAAGCATGTACAGACTTGGAAGTGGGTTTTAGACTTGACCAATTGGAAGCACTGGTGGTCTCAAATTTTTTTCATGTTTGTATCTCCATAGAAAAGTAGTTGCAAGCCAAAAATGTATCTCTGTATGATTCATTATCTCTTCAAATACAGTATGCATAACTTGGTCATAGTGAGTCATTCAGTCACTCAGTCAGTAATAATTATTTTTAGGTGTTTGCCCAATAGCAATGATAGTCAATGTTTTATTTCCCCTTCAAATCTGATATGTCCTCAAAGCCTGTGGCTTTTTTCTAAATAACCTCTTGGATTTCCCAGTTGAGTGCAGGCACTCTCATCCCCTACTGCAGTAGTTCAAACTCTCACTGGACTCAGAATATCAGAGTTGTTCATGGTCTCTTAACCTTGCAACTACTTTCCCATCCCCGTGCTACTACCCTATTCACATGTCACTAAATTTTTATTTCTACAATGACTCTCAACGTATAGTTTTAATAAAAAAGAATGTTCTTTGGACTCAGAGAATTTTGTTTGAATTTATTCTATCTCTTAATATGTGACAATAGCTACATGCATTGTTTCCAAAATTACTTGATGGATTTTTCAAACAATAAATAAAAATATAGTAATGTGTCACTTAACAATGAGGATACAGTCTCATAAATGAGTTGTTAGGTGATTTTATTGTTGTGCAAATATCATAAAATATACTTACTGAAAACTGTATGATATAGCCCTGGCTCTATAATATATATAATATAATATATAGCTCCTTGGCTACAAAACTGCACATCATGTTACTATACTGAATATTTTAGGCAAGTGTAATATAATGGTATTTGTGCATCTAAACATGTCTAAACATAGATAAGGTACTCTAAAATATGGTATTGTAATCTTATGGGACCATGGTTCAGAAACATTGTTAGGTGGCATATTTATGTTATGTGTTATGTGGCATATTTATGTTATGTGTTATGCGGCATTGTTATGTGGCATATTTATGTTATGTTATGTGTCATTGTTATGTTGCCACATAACATATTATGTTATGTTATGTGTCATTGTTATGTTGCCACATTGTTATGTGGCATATTTATGTTATATGTTATGTAGCATTTTTATGTGACATATCTAATGATCTTGGCTCTGCTAGTTACTAAAAGTGAAAAGGCAAAAGGAAAAATAGAGATAAACATTTTAAAAAAATTAATACAAAAATGAGGTTAAAAATACAATTGCTACCTGATATGAATTTTTATTCTCTTATAATATGTGGGTCAGAAATTCAGCTGCAAGCCTTCTAGCTTGCCCTAGTTGCCCTAGGTTATTTGTCTATATTATGGGTTTGCCAATATGTTAAGCATTTTCATAAGCAATATCCTATTTAATTTGTCAATACTTATAAAATCTTAAGAGACAGGTACTAATATGACCACCTTTTTAATTGCATTTTAGGTTTTGGGGTACATGTGAAGAACATGCAAGATAGTTGCATAGGTACACACGTGGCAGTGTGATTTGCTGCCTTCCTCCCCTTCACCTACATCTGGTATTTCTCCCCATGCTATCTCTCCCCAACTCCCCACCCTGTACTGTCCCTCCCTATTCCCCCCAACAGACCCCAGTGTGTAGTGCTCCCCTCCCTGTGAATATGACCACCTTTTAATGGAAATTAACTAACTCATCTATAATCCTTTATTTGGTAAGTGAGGACATGAACTTGAAACCTGGGTGATATGATAGGCACATACACACAGCTTTCCACTCACATACACATCAGCTCACAAATAAATAAATAAAGACCCTAAGAGACAGTGTTAACTAAAAGGCATGAACAAGGTTAATAAAAATCTTTTTCATCTTCTTCCCTTGAGGATGAGAAGAGGGCATGTCGGAGTCCCTAATCCTCTAACTACCTACCTTTTTCCCACAAGGAACAGTGAGTGACAAGAGAAAATAAATGGGCACGGAATCAACCTCTCTAACATCCTTCTGTTTCCTTTTACTCATTTTTTTTGGTTGGTGTGTCTGCTCCCTTGTAAATTTTCTTTGTTAACACACTCTTTCTTCTTTGCCTTTGGCCTGATTCCCAAGATTTGGTGAGTATTGGCTGTTTGAAGGGGTTTGATTGGGACAAGACTTAGAGAAAGAAAGTGAGTGAAATGCCAGGCCTCTGTTTCTTAGGGGCCATGGATTGGGCACTATATTTTTTTTCCCTGAGCAACTCCAATTTATAAACTGAGGCCCTGATCTCCAATACTTGTATATATGCTCCACTGAATAGGCATGAAAAGATCAAAACAGATGAACAATTACACAGCTAAGAATGACCACAGTCAGCAGTGTTAGGAAATTTCTGTTTCAGTCATATGACAGGAGTCCGTAACTCTAATCTAAACTGTAGAACTAAGTGTGCTGGGATGTGTGTATGCCAATTTTTATCCATCTTGCTATTTCTTTTCTCTTCTCCACTGTGTGGTCTATTAATAATAATACTAATGATATAAAATATAACCTAATATAAAGAAGTAAAACTTGTTACATGCTTAATATGTTTCAGGTACTATATTAAAGGGTATTTTTCAGTGTGTATTATTTTGTCCTAATAATAACTATAAAAATTAGAAATATTAATTTCTTTTAAAAACATAGGAACCTGAAGATCATACAATTTAAATAGCTTGCCCAGATTCACATAGCTAGTAAATTGTGGAACCAGGATTAAATTGTGAAACCTAGCTTTCTGAGGCTCCAGAGCATACACTCTGCCAATATTTTGGTAACATACTGTGGATGCCTGAGTGTATGTGTATGTATGTACCATGATATTATAATCACCAATGATAAAATTAACATGAATTCCTTTATATCACCCAATACCTAGTTCATATTTAAGTTTCCCTAAGTATTCTTTAATTGAATTCAATATCTGGTTGGTTTAAACAAAATTCAATCAAGAACCACACTGTAGGCCAGGTGTGGTGGCTTACACCTGTAATCCCAGTACTTTGGGAGGCTGAGGCAGGTGGATCATCTGAGGTCAGAAGTTTGAGACCAACCTGACCAACACGGTGAAACCCATCTCTACTAAAAACACAAAAATTAGCCAGGTGTGGTGGTGGGTACCTGCAATTCCAGCTACTCCGGAGGCTGAGGCAGGAGAATCCCTGGGAAGCCAGAGGTTGCAGGAAGCCGAGATTGTGCCACTGCACTCTAGCCTGGACAACAGAGTGAGACTCTGTTTAAATAACAAACATATAACATAACATAACATAACATAACATAACATAACATAACATAACACAACATAACACATAACATAACATAACATAACATAACAAACATAACATAACATAACATAACATAACATAACATAACATAAAACATAACATAACAACATAACCACATGGCATTTGTCTATCTCTTAAATGTACTTCAATCTGGAAATGAATTTTCCTTACCTAATATTCCCCTTCCCCTTTAATGGCATTGCCTTGAAAATCATAAATTGTTCCATGTTGTGGATTTGTCTGGTCATTAAATGAGAACCCTGAGAGCTAACTTTCTGTGCACTCACGTGTGTCTGTGAATGCTTCTGGATGACTTTATGAACATCTGTTGTATTTGAGTTCATGGAAATATAAAATCTTGAGAAAACCTCTCCCCACCTATGTATGAAAAAAGGATGACCTCAGACAAGTTGGGAGACCTGTGATTCAAAGTATTAATACATAGTTTCAGTATGCTGATGCCACATGTTGTTTGAGTATGTGAGTAGCATAGGCATTTTCAACATGAAGGCTGAAAAACCTAGTCAGGTTTCTGGTATCAGCAACAGGTGAATTCTATACCCCCAGTGGATAAGAGAGCCAGTGACTAAACAGGAAAACCTTGAATCCTCAGTAGATGAGGGGTGGGCTATGACCCACTCTCTGAAGTCTAGACTGTGTTCCCAGAATCTAGAATGTGAAGACACTGTAGAGGAAGGTTTGAGTTGTAAGAAGGGTGTTTTCACCTGTGATAAGGATGTGTAAGAAAGGAAGACAAAGAGAATCTCTTTTGCCAAAAGAAGAGTGGATAAAATAAGCCCCGGTCTGAGGAATGAAAAGTATTGTGAGCTGGGCCTAAGAAGGTGATAAAAAGCAGGCGTGGGGATAAATTTGAACACGATTCTTGGCCTTCTCAGGTTAGGAATATGAAGCATATGGCTACCACAAGCCTCACTTTAATTCTGATTCTGTAAGTCCTTGGCCTTGCTACATGGTTCATTACCTGTAGCACTTACATGCGCAGTATCTTTCTATTCATATAGAATTATCTACAGGTATAAAACATATTTTCTATGTAATGCAATGGGTGTTTGATGAGGGTTGGTAGAGGCATTACTGGGGAAGGAAGAATGTATAGGACCCGTGGAGGTTTTAGGAAATAACCAAACTTGTGACAGTTAAATGAGAACCCTGAGAATTAACTGTCTGTGGACCCATGTGTGTTTGTGAATGCTTTTGGATAACTTCATGAACATCTGTTGTATTTAAAATCATGAAAATATAGGCAAAATCCAATTATGAAACCTTTCGTTTATGTTCTCAGCACATATGTGTGGGGAAGATGGAAAGAGAGGGGGCTTATAATTGTGTAAGATTATATATGGGTAAATATATAGTAGCAAAATATATGACAGAATGTGAGTGTAGGCCAGGATATGCCTGAGAATTTAACTATTACGGGTCTATGTTTGAGAGAATATGTGTCTTGGGTTGATGTGTCTATCTAACAGATGTATGTTCACAAAAAAAGCAATCTTCCGTTTGGACAGAAACCTTGACTGATAGTGTCATTAAGTCCACAGTATTAGACTATTACACACTTCTGTAGTATATAGAGTATTGGAAAACTACAATTTTTTTTTTTTGAGAAGGCTAGTGAGCTTCAGCTATATGGGACTTTTCTAGTTTAAACTTTTACACATGTTATCCTGCATAGCATAGGAACTCATCTAGTGTTTGCTGAACTGAATTAGGTTTTTTGATGGCAATAAAGAGGTGTTGATGTTACAAATCTAAGAGCCACAGACATCAGGTAGCTTTAAGAGAAGCAAGTAGCTGTCTTGGGGCAGAAACAGAAAATTCATAATGACAGAGCGAGCAGATCCTAAATAATTATGTCCATAAGGTCATGTGAGCTATAATCCACTAACCCATGAAAAAGTATATTCTGTACTTTGTTAACTTGTATGGGAGAACAGTGTATTACAAAGAGTGTAACCAGTCTGGAAGGCTTCCTGGAGAAGCTCTGTAAGCTACCCGGGGAGGACAGAAGAAAGAAGAGATTCTCTTCACATAGACTAATAATATATCTATTTGTATCTGAACAATCTTGGTTTATGCATGTTGCGACCATTATTACCAAATTTAACCTTTGTTCATTTCAAACGGGTTCCATTTTGGATGATAAATTACAAGGTCATTTTATCTTCAGGAGGCTATAATAATGATTAGTTGAAAGTGAGAGTTACTCAAATTTCTCTAACTTTCCTTCATCACCTTCTGTCTTTAGGACCTGAGATTTGTGCCATCTGCATGTGCCATGATCATTTTCAACCTGAGCAGTTACAATCCAGGAACCTTCATTCTGGTAGGGATCCCAGGCCTGGAGCAATTCCACGTGTGGATTGGGATTCTTTTTTGTATCATCTACATTGTAGCTGTTGTGGGAAACTGCATCCTTCTCTACCTCATTGCAGTGGAGCATAGTCTTCACGAACCCATGTTCTTCTTTCTCTCCATGCTGGCCATGACTGACCTCATCCTGTCCACAGCTGGTGTGCCTAAAACGCTCAGTATCTTTTGGCTGGGGGCTCGAGATATCACATTCCCAGGATGCCTTACACAAATGTTCTTCCTTCACTATAGCTTTGTCCTAGATTCAGCCATTCTGATGGCCATGGCATTTGATCGTTATGTAGCCATCTGTTCTCCCTTGAGATATACCACCATCTTGACTCCCAAGACCATCATCAAGATTGCTATGGGCATCTCCTTCCGAAGCTTCTGCATCATCCTGCCAGATGTATTCTTGCTGACACACCTGCCTTTCTGCAGGACACGCATCATACCCCACACATACTGTGAGCACATAGGTGTTGCCCGGCTCGCCTGTGCTGATATCTCCATCAACATCTGGTATGGCTTTTGTGTTCCCATCATGACAGTCATCTCGGATGTGATTCTCATTGCTCTTTCCTACACCCTCATCCTCTGTGCTGTCTTTCGCCTTCCTTCCCAAGATGCCCGCCAGAAAGCTCTCAGCACTTGTGGTTCTCATGTCTGTGTCATCCTCATGTTTTATACACCTGCCTTCTTCTCCATCCTTGCCCATCGCTTTGGACACAATGTCTCTCGCAGCTTCCACATAATGTTTGCCAATCTCTACATTGTTATCCCACCTGCACTCAACCCTATTGTTTATGGAGTGAAGACCAAGCAGATGAGAGATAAGGTTATACTTTTGTTTTCTACTAAGGGTACAGGATGATGTCTTACTGGGCGATGGAATAACCAGAATAAATTTTTAATGTACAGAAATGTAGAAAGAGTGAAAAGGCAAATGCTATTTAAAGCAAGAACTACCTGGAGCTGCTTTCATGGAGCAAGAATGTGGCATGATCTGTATGAGAATTATGGTCCTATGTATATAAAAAATCCTGATGACCTCTTTGGTTGTGAAATAGGGGGCTGCACAGAATATGATCAGGAAGAAGGAGATGAAAACAGAGAGTTAAATTACTCTAAATTGAAAAAGAAATAAAAATTTGGAAATTGATATTTGCAGCTGTGATAAGTGAGTGTATTAAGTAGAACAGAAACACTCAGGAACAGAGAATAACTAGTAAAAAGATCAATGAGAAGTTTCTCATCTAGAGGATTATCAGATGGATATTGAGAACATTAATGATAACATTGGATTCTAATTATTTTCCTTTTATGTTTCACTGTAATTCCCTTTAATTGTTTCCTCTCTCTATACACACAAAATGAAAAATCAAAGAATCTTCAGTACAAGTCTGCTGCAAATAGTGTTACATCAGCAGTGTGATGAAGGGAATGAGTGAATTAGCATATTGATCAATGGCTCAGTTGTGGGCTTTGGTGCTGGGAGAGGAGAGTAGCTTCTAGGCCCCAAGACACATTGAGAAAGTGAGCTGCAGAGGTAGTACTGGGAGAATATAACCCCTCAAAACAGTTAGAGATTTGAATAAAAAACTGCAGTTCCCACAGCACACACATTGGACTTCAAGCCAGCTCATTAGAAACTACGGTAAAAATCTAGCCACGAGGACCTGTGGAACTCTGTTCTACATACTGCAGTTCCTTGATTGCAAGAAACGTTTTTACAGTGAGGAGAGGGAATGAGGGTGGGAACGCTACAATAAAGTAACACATCCATGGAAAAAAGCACCAAAATTTTGTAAGCATTAGAACTGAGAAAATACTATATGTTGTGATTAAAGAAGGAACGTAGAAGCGTAATCATAAACTGTTATGAAATGTAGAGTTGGTCTCTCCCAGTGGTTTCTGAGACAATCCTAAAGGGCTCGGTTCTGAGAGGATGCCTTAAGGTGCATCTCAAGGGTTACATGGAGGAAGTGTCTTGTCTTCTTTTTCCACAATCACAGGAGATCTGATATTATTTAGTTTAGTTTGTGTATTAAGTGTTTAGATAAGATTCTACTTGAACAATAAAGTTTCTCCAATAAATCCTGTTTTGAAAAGCATCCATTCTTTGGCTATTATTACAAAGTGAAAAAAAAAATAACAGATGCTAGTGAGGTTACAAAGAAAAAGGAACACTATACATGGTTAGTGGGAGTGTAAATTAGTTTAACCATTGAGATAGTGTAATGATTCCTCAAAGACCTAAAGACAGAAGTACCATTTGACCCAGCAATTCTATTACTGGGTATATACCCCCCCAAAAATAGAAATTGCTCTATTATAAAGACACATGCATGCATATGGTCACTGCATCAGTATTTACGATAACATATACATGGAATCAACCTAAATGCCCATCAGTGGTATACTGGATAAACAAGTGTGGTACATATACACCATGGAATACTATGCAGCCATAAAAAACAATGAGATTATGTCCTTTGCAGGCACATGGATGGATCTGGAGGTCATTGTCCTTAGCAAACTAACATGGGAACAGA